ATGTGACCTGACCTGAGGAGGAGAACTGCGACGCACCGGCGCCTACCGGTAAAGGACAGTGCAGAACAATTGCCGATTTCCTTCGGTTGACCTGGTCTTGCACTCAGTTGGCTAACTGCCAACCCCATAATCAGTAGTTCTGTGAGCGGTAACTATTCAGCCATGCGAATATTACTACATGATTCGCTTAACAGCTGCAATAAATCCGGCCTACCCATGGGTTGGCTGAACACCTGATTCACCTTTTCTGTCTTCAGAAGAGCCTGTGGGAGGTTTTCCTTCCTTGATAGAACGTCTCCGCTGCAAAAGTTCATGGGATATCTGGCATACCTGAAAGGTTGGAAGGCTCTCCCGACTTACCACACGCTAAAAGAAGGCCCGTTTGAAGCGGGAGATCTCAAAGGAAGCTCTGCCCCCGATAGTTTCCGGCTCATCCCTCCTTAATTCAATGCAATTGTCCACCTTTCATACGGGAGACGAGCCGGCCATTACACTAAGTGAATGACCTCTCGATCCCATTTTGGAATCGGTTTCTTTAGTGAGAAAAATCAATCTTCCCCGCCGGAGAGTGTGGATAACCTTCGTGCAATGCGTAAAAAGTGAACAGCAAAAGATAAAAAGCACCCAGCATTGATCGATCCCTGTTTGATGCGCCATGCATTCGATTCCACACAGAATCGTGGTGGTACATGGGTGATATTTGGTCCTCCATAATGACTGGTGGGAGCCGACCGATCTACGAGCGGTATTTTTATGCTCTCAAAGGTAGGGGCCGGTATCGATTGGCTGACCGGAGGACCGAACACTTGGTTGCCCTGGGTAGGATTCGATCGGGGGTTCCACCTTCGAACCGTGAACTTGGTAATTGGCACCACTTCCCACGTCCCTACCGCTCTAGCTTGAAATCCTGCCTGCGGCTCGCTCTTGCTATCGGGTTGTATTCTTTAGGTAATATTTAATAATATGTAATAATATTGAAAATCAATAATTATGCAATAATTTTAATATTTAATATTATATTAATCTAATAAAGTTAAGTGTAACTACCCTATTCATTTCACTCTCTGAATTCTTCTTTTACATCTCAGGGCAAAAAAGGTTCCCGATGGCTAACTCAAAAGGGCCCCAGGTCTGGTTCCCGAGACGGGTTTGTTTAGGCTACCTCAAGGATCAATCGATTATAAATTTTGGATTTTCATGGATCATAAGAAACTCCACGCCAATTTCGCCTTTGATGGGAGCTGAATTCTTGGCTTATTGCCAGTAATCTACCCTGATTCAGGAATTATTTTGAAAAAGTCGTGAAAAAAACCACAGTAAGAAAAAACTTCATTACAATAAATAATGCGAAAATAGAGGTGCAGTGAGTGATCTACCTCAGCAACCGGGCGGCGCGGTGTTGACCCACGTTAAAATGAGATCATAATTTTCGTTCGAAAATCTGTACAACCGGACAATCACAGATCAGCTGAGCAAAGCGCATTCTCTGTTGACTTTCTCCATAGCATTGAGGTCTATTGATCAATCTATTGCTCAAAACAACAAACAAAACAAACCTATTATAACCTAAATTTACGTAGAATTCCATTCTGCGATAATTGCTCATTCTTCCTTCCTGGCATTTGGACAGTGAATCCGAAGCAGTAAAATTGGTTTTAAGGGGGAGGAGGGCTGTTGCGATTGCTGAGAGATCCATGGGTTAGCTGCCCTGTCCGTGGTAGCCCATTGGGGTTTATTTTGTGCTTCGAGCGGGCCAAGAAGGTGCCCAAGTTGTAGTCGTTGGATTGGGCCACTGGAAGGATCGGGCTGCAGAGACGGTTCCGACCGTGGCTCTACTGGGCCACGAGGGTGCCCAAGTGGTGGTCGTAGTGGGCCATGGATAGAATCGTCGGGTTGTTGTCCAGGCAGGAGCGAGAGTTGTACCGGCGTGGTGTGCCATCTTTTGCGCTGTCCAGCTCTTCGTCGTCCAGACGGGAGCTTTCGTCGTGGTGGTGGACTGAGTGCTCGGGGTTGTCCACGTTGTGATGGGTCTATCAACAGTGGTGGTAGTGGTGCCAAAGGCTCTTGCTGTTGACCACTTAGGTACGTATCTTGTCGTCGTTTCGAGGTGTCCAGCTTCGTGAGCTTTCGAGTGCCCGACCAGTCGGTCGACTTGTTGGCCTTGGTTGTAGACGTCCCGTTCCGCCGCTGAGAGAGGACGCCTGCTAAACAACTTATTCAGAGGAGCGAACTTGAGGCGGGAAAGGGACATTTCATTCTCTCCAGAGACAATGGGGATCAGCGATTTCCACTGAATCTCTGTAGGAGAATGGAGTGCCTCGGAAAGAAGACGGGAGCAAAAGTCAAAAAGAAAACCATACCTCGGGCAGCGGCGGGGTTACAAGGTGTTTATACGACAGAACGTCTCGCTGACACTGAAGTTATGTACGTGTAGACGCATTCCGGCGGAAATTGCTTCAGTGCATAATTTGAGTGGGATCGTATATCTTCCCATGTAGTACGTCGACCATCGTGGATATATCTTGAAGTTGTAATGCGAGGGGTTGCCGGCGATCCGGGGGTCACGATCGTCCCTAAAATTACGTCCTTATTAGGTTTTCAGGGCGCACAGTAATGGGAGGAGAACGGGTGGACAAACCTTTGATGCTCGTGGTAGAAGCCGATGATGTGCATCAGCTCGTGCACTTTGACCGTTACGCGACCGCTTAACTTTGAGGTCATTACAGCATGCCCGCGGTCTCTCTTCTACCGCTGCTGACATAGTCTATCGTGTCTGCGGACATTCAGCCTCTATCTATCCGCGGTGCCAATTCATACGCTGCGGAAAAGGTTCGTCGTTTGACGACCGATATAGGAGAAGCACCTGTAAAGACCTATCTCAGGGACAATGGGCTATGACTGAGTACAGGGCAATTGCTCACAAAAGAGTACCTCACTCACCTCTCAAGGTTGTAGTACTTGTTAATCGACAAGTAGTACCGATCACCGGCGTTACGAGGACGGAACGAAATACAGGTATGCTTAGGGAATTCGGCCATAGCCGACAGAATAACGCTCCTTTCCCAGGGATCATAATGCGAAGCGATCTCGTATGGAACCACTCCACCTGGCCAAAGGCTAAAATACGGTCAATCAATTTTTTCTCGGAAAAATGAACTCAAAAAGCCTCATAGAGCGAAAACTTACTGCATACTCCATTGTGACGGATGAAGTGCTAAACGTTTGTCTCGCGGGTGTCCTTCGGAACTATCGCTGGCGCTGGTGATAACCGGCTGAAAAACACTTCAGTTAGACCAAAAGGTAAAGTGCGCCGTTGCCCAGACGTCGTCTTCCTCTGCCCATCCACAAATAGTCAGACAGGGCAAAAAACTGGATCTTTTCAGAGTTGTTATCAACATGCATGGTCGTCAATTAGTAGGGAACCGATCAGTAGATCAGTCGTGATTCGACTGATAGAATTACCCCGGCTTACCAAGAGCATCCCTGGCCTACCGGGGCCTTACCGAGAGCGAGTTATGGCTGAGTCATATTCGTGGAAGGGTAGAGGACCACCAGTCGTTCAATGAAGGATTCAAGCACTCACCAGTAAAGCTGACAGGAAGATTAGGGTGATAGCTGACATTGAAGGCTGTTGAGGTTTTCGGCGTCGAATTCCGAAATCAGCTCGAAGAGCAGTCGCCACGACCTTTATAGTGGGCCAGGCCGTGGGGGGATCCGATGAAAAGTGGCGGACAGAGTACAAGTTGAGAACA